AAAGTTGAAAAAAAATAAAAAATCCAATTTTTTAGAAATAATTTTTCGGAGCAAATTAATTTATTAAAAAAAATATAAAAAATTGTGAAGCGACTGCTCTTTAATGTCATGAATTTTTTAATATTTTCTTGGAATTAAAAATTTTCAGTTTCATAATTTTAGTAACAATAAAATTAAATCTTTTGTGAGTGATAAAAAATTATTAATTGCAAGTTTCTTTGTTGTTTTTTAAAGAAAAAAAATTAATATTTGTGTTTTTGCAATAAAATTTTGTTAAAAAAAATTTAATTTTAAATGAAAAAAATTTTTTTACAGATTCTTAATATTTAGCCTGTCAAAAAAAATTTTTTTTAATAATTTTTTTCTTTTACTACTGTGAAAATAATTAAATTTTTTAATATAAAAGTTTTGTGCGAAATAAAGTTGAAAAAAAATAAAAAATCCAATTTTTTAGAAATAATTTTTCGGAGCAAATTAATTTATTAAAAAAAATATAAAAAATTGTGAAGCGACTGCTCTTTAATGTCATGAATTTTTTAATATTTTCTTGGAATTAAAAATTTTCAGTTTCATAATTTTAGTAACAATAAAATTAAATCTTTTGTGAGTGATAAAAAATTATTAATTGCAAGTTTCTTTGTTGTTTTTTAAAGAAAAAAAATTAATATTTGTGTTTTTGCAATAAAATTTTGTTAAAAAAAATTTAATTTTAAATGAAAAAAATTTTTTTACAGATTCTTAATATTTAGCCTGTCAAAAAAAATTTTTTTTAATAATTTTTTTCTTTTACTACTGTGAAAATAATTAAATTTTTTAATATAAAAGTTTTGTGCGAAATAAAGTTGAAAAAAAATAAAAAATCCAATTTTTTAGAAATAATTTTTCGGAGCAAATTAATTTATTAAAAAAAATATAAAAAATTGTGAAGCGACTGCTCTTTAATGTCATGAATTTTTTAATATTTTCTTGGAATTAAAAATTTTCAGTTTCATAATTTTAGTAACAATAAAATTAAATCTTTTGTGAGTGATAAAAAATTATTAATTGCAAGTTTCTTTGTTGTTTTTTAAAGAAAAAAAATTAATATTTGTGTTTTTGCAATAAAATTTTGTTAAAAAAAATTTAATTTTAAATGAAAAAAATTTTTTTACAGATTCTTAATATTTAGCCTGTCAAAAAAAATTTTTTTTAATAATTTTTTTCTTTTACTACTGTGAAAATAATTAAATTTTTTAATATAAAAGTTTTGTGCGAAATAAAGTTGAAAAAAAATAAAAAATCCAATTTTTTAGAAATAATTTTTCGGAGCAAATTAATTTATTAAAAAAAATATAAAAAATTGTGAAGCGACTGCTCTTTAATGTCATGAATTTTTTAATATTTTCTTGGAATTAAAAATTTTCAGTTTCATAATTTTAGTAACAATAAAATTAAATCTTTTGTGAGTGATAAAAAATTATTAATTGCAAGTTTCTTTGTTGTTTTTTAAAGAAAAAAAATTAATATTTGTGTTTTTGCAATAAAATTTTGTTAAAAAAAATTTAATTTTAAATGAAAAAAATTTTTTTACAGATTCTTAATATTTAGCCTGTCAAAAAAAATTTTTTTTAATAATTTTTTTCTTTTACTACTGTGAAAATAATTAAATTTTTTAATATAAAAGTTTTGTGCGAAATAAAGTTGAAAAAAAATAAAAAATCCAATTTTTTAGAAATAATTTTTCGGAGCAAATTAATTTATTAAAAAAAATATAAAAAATTGTGAAGCGACTGCTCTTTAATGTCATGAATTTTTTAATATTTTCTTGGAATTAAAAATTTTCAGTTTCATAATTTTAGTAACAATAAAATTAAATCTTTTGTGAGTGATAAAAAATTATTAATTGCAAGTTTCTTTGTTGTTTTTTAAAGAAAAAAAATTAATATTTGTGTTTTTGCAATAAAATTTTGTTAAAAAAAATTTAATTTTAAATGAAAAAAATTTTTTTACAGATTCTTAATATTTAGCCTGTCAAAAAAAATTTTTTTTAATAATTTTTTTCTTTTACTACTGTGAAAATAATTAAATTTTTTAATATAAAAGTTTTGTGCGAAATAAAGTTGAAAAAAAATAAAAAATCCAATTTTTTAGAAATAATTTTTCGGAGCAAATTAATTTATTAAAAAAAATATAAAAAATTGTGAAGCGACTGCTCTTTAATGTCATGAATTTTTTAATATTTTCTTGGAATTAAAAATTTTCAGTTTCATAATTTTAGTAACAATAAAATTAAATCTTTTGTGAGTGATAAAAAATTATTAATTGCAAGTTTCTTTGTTGTTTTTTAAAGAAAAAAAATTAATATTTGTGTTTTTGCAATAAAATTTTGTTAAAAAAAATTTAATTTTAAATGAAAAAAATTTTTTTACAGATTCTTAATATTTAGCCTGTCAAAAAAAATTTTTTTTAATAATTTTTTTCTTTTACTACTGTGAAAATAATTAAATTTTTTAATATAAAAGTTTTGTGCGAAATAAAGTTGAAAAAAAATAAAAAATCCAATTTTTTAGAAATAATTTTTCGGAGCAAATTAATTTATTAAAAAAAATATAAAAAATTGTGAAGCGACTGCTCTTTAATGTCATGAATTTTTTAATATTTTCTTGGAATTAAAAATTTTCAGTTTCATAATTTTAGTAACAATAAAATTAAATCTTTTGTGAGTGATAAAAAATTATTAATTGCAAGTTTCTTTGTTGTTTTTTAAAGAAAAAAAATTAATATTTGTGTTTTTGCAATAAAATTTTGTTAAAAAAAATTTAATTTTAAATGAAAAAAATTTTTTTACAGATTCTTAATATTTAGCCTGTCAAAAAAAATTTTTTTTAATAATTTTTTTCTTTTACTACTGTGAAAATAATTAAATTTTTTAATATAAAAGTTTTGTGCGAAATAAAGTTGAAAAAAAATAAAAAATCCAATTTTTTAGAAATAATTTTTCGGAGCAAATTAATTTATTAAAAAAAATATAAAAAATTGTGAAGCGACTGCTCTTTAATGTCATGAATTTTTTAATATTTTCTTGGAATTAAAAATTTTCAGTTTCATAATTTTAGTAACAATAAAATTAAATCTTTTGTGAGTGATAAAAAATTATTAATTGCAAGTTTCTTTGTTGTTTTTTAAAGAAAAAAAATTAATATTTGTGTTTTTGCAATAAAATTTTGTTAAAAAAAATTTAATTTTAAATGAAAAAAATTTTTTTACAGATTCTTAATATTTAGCCTGTCAAAAAAAATTTTTTTTAATAATTTTTTTCTTTTACTACTGTGAAAATAATTAAATTTTTTAATATAAAAGTTTTGTGCGAAATAAAGTTGAAAAAAAATAAAAAATCCAATTTTTTAGAAATAATTTTTCGGAGCAAATTAATTTATTAAAAAAAATATAAAAAATTGTGAAGCGACTGCTCTTTAATGTCATGAATTTTTTAATATTTTCTTGGAATTAAAAATTTTCAGTTTCATAATTTTAGTAACAATAAAATTAAATCTTTTGTGAGTGATAAAAAATTATTAATTGCAAGTTTCTTTGTTGTTTTTTAAAGAAAAAAAATTAATATTTGTGTTTTTGCAATAAAATTTTGTTAAAAAAAATTTAATTTTAAATGAAAAAAATTTTTTTACAGATTCTTAATATTTAGCCTGTCAAAAAAAATTTTTTTTAATAATTTTTTTCTTTTACTACTGTGAAAATAATTAAATTTTTTAATATAAAAGTTTTGTGCGAAATAAAGTTGAAAAAAAATAAAAAATCCAATTTTTTAGAAATAATTTTTCGGAGCAAATTAATTTATTAAAAAAAATATAAAAAATTGTGAAGCGACTGCTCTTTAATGTCATGAATTTTTTAATATTTTCTTGGAATTAAAAATTTTCAGTTTCATAATTTTAGTAACAATAAAATTAAATCTTTTGTGAGTGATAAAAAATTATTAATTGCAAGTTTCTTTGTTGTTTTTTAAAGAAAAAAAATTAATATTTGTGTTTTTGCAATAAAATTTTGTTAAAAAAAATTTAATTTTAAATGAAAAAAATTTTTTTACAGATTCTTAATATTTAGCCTGTCAAAAAAAATTTTTTTTAATAATTTTTTTCTTTTACTACTGTGAAAATAATTAAATTTTTTAATATAAAAGTTTTGTGCGAAATAAAGTTGAAAAAAAATAAAAAATCCAATTTTTTAGAAATAATTTTTCGGAGCAAATTAATTTATTAAAAAAAATATAAAAAATTGTGAAGCGACTGCTCTTTAATGTCATGAATTTTTTAATATTTTCTTGGAATTAAAAATTTTCAGTTTCATAATTTTAGTAACAATAAAATTAAATCTTTTGTGAGTGATAAAAAATTATTAATTGCAAGTTTCTTTGTTGTTTTTTAAAGAAAAAAAATTAATATTTGTGTTTTTGCAATAAAATTTTGTTAAAAAAAATTTAATTTTAAATGAAAAAAATTTTTTTACAGATTCTTAATATTTAGCCTGTTATATAAAATATATAAAAAATGCATGTGGGTATTCAAATGAAAGGTCTCGATAAGGGTAACATCGAGATGAGCTTATATCTTTAAAAATATTAATAATTGAACAATTACATTGTATCTTGTCACCTAATGATAATATTAAAGATTTGAGGTAGTTGTCGTGGTTAAGGCATACCGTCAGAAAATTCTAAATTTTTGTATACTTATTAAGGACATGATGATACAATTACCCTAAAAATTTAAAGTCGACTGACCATCTATAACCCGAGATGAATTCAATTAAAAATTGGATATTTAACATTGATTGCATATACGCTCTCTGCAGTTCTGTACCAGTTTTTTAGTTTGAAAAAAAAAAAACTAACTGTCAGAAACTTCCAAAAAACTGACAGTCTTTTAATGTATTTGTTGTGAGCTTAAAAAAAAATAAAAAAAAATTTTTGACCGTATAATCTTTAATTTTTGACAATATTGTACCAAGATAAATTTTTTGGCAATATTGTACCAAGACAACTACCTTAAAGCCTAATTTGAGTTACTCTCACTTACTCTAGACACGCGGGGATGTAACTGGAAATTCTAAATTTCTAAAAAAATAATTAACGAATCAACTCTTTGGCCTGTAAACCTTGTAGAGGGTTTGAAAACAATTGAATTGGTATATAATAATCAATAAAAATAAATTTATCGAGAGTTTAAGAGCCTATCATCCCGACCATACGGATTGTCTCTTATTTATTGAACTATTGAACGCGAGGATTTAAATTTAAAAATTCTAAATTTATAAAAAAATAATAAACTAAATAATAATTATAAATTAATCTATCGAGAGATTTAAAACTTATTATAAAAGTTTTTTTCCTTAATTATAGGTGAAGAAGCACTACTGTCCCCCGTAGTGGGTGGACCGAGTGTTACCTGTAGTTTCTACACCAAGAATAACAACAACAATAACAACAATGAAGAACAACAAATTATCGAAGACAATAACATAAATTCATACTTTTTACGGTCTAAAATTCGGCTTTACGATGACTTATCATCATCATCAACGTCATCTTTTAACAACGACCATGAAAAACAAAATCCTCGTCAACTTATTTCCGTAAAATGCAAAATAAACGCCAAGAAAGATATTAGTAAATATTTTGATTATCCCAACCGGGAAAATAATCAATCGCAGAATTATAATTTGAAAAAAAACCTTTTCAATCTAACTGGGAACGAGGACGCTCTTGACGATACGGTAATGGGTTCTAATTTGAGTCGTCACCATGGTAAAGGTCTTACGGGACGCAGAACACAGTCATCAGGAAATCTTTGTGACTCAAAAGGAAAGCTTAGTCATGTTGGTAAAATGCTTGTTCCTTGTTCGAGTTCATCGGAGGACAGGTATCTATAAAAAAATACCATTATTATTATTATTGAGGCTTTTCAAGGTCTCATATCATTCTCACCGATAGTCAATTCATTATGATAAATATTTAGGCTGCATTCGAAAATATCTCTAGATACATAATTATGAAATGACCTTGTATCTTGTGAACTATTGACGTTTCTAAAGATATAAGCTCATTTCAATATTATACTCATCGAGACCTTTTATTTGAGTACCCACATGCATTTTTTATATATTTTATATACATCACAAATATATCAAATATCATATATACAAAATATATATGAAAAATGCATGTGGATACTCAAATAAAAGGACTCGATAAGCGTAACATCAAGATGAGCTTATATCTTCATAAATGTCAATAACTAAGAAATGATCTTGCATTTTGTGAACTATTGACATTATTAAAGATATAAGCTCACCCCGACATTACACTAATCGAGACCTTTCATTTGAGTACCCACATCAATTTTTCATATATTTTATATATTTATATATATTATATATATGTATATATCAAAAATATATCAAAACACATGTGGGTACTCAAATGAAAGCTCTTGATGAGTGTAACATCGGGATGAGCTTATATCTTTAAAAACGTCAATAGTTAAGAAAGTACAATGCAATTTAACAAAAGTCATTATTTAATAAAGCAAAATTGTATTGTATTTATAGTTCACAAGTCACGGCAGTCACATAGTAACTGCAAGGTTGCTAGTTATTATTATTTTTTTTTTCTATTTATTTATTTATTTTTATTAATTTTTTTCTAGGTACAAATTCTCTGGGTCATTACCAAATAATTTAGATAATGATCATGATTTTATGCTGGTAAATAACAACAATGTATTAACGGATACAATAGCTGGAAATTTAGGTGGTACTTTACCACATAAAAAGTCATCAGTACAATTCAATGATGAGGTGACTGATTTCACACAATATCGACTGCAAACACTCGAAGGCGACCCTTGGGAGTATGTTTATACGTATTTATTATATTATCAAATAATAGATGTAATGCAAACTTTTAAGTTATTTGTTATTAGTGTTAGACTTAATTACTAGCTTAAAATGTAATTATTCTCACGGAGAATTTAGCAAAAATAATTATACAGAAAATTCGAGTTATATTTACCGTTTTGACGGTCTCTGGTTAGCAAATAATTATATTGTTTATCTTGTTTAATTACTGTTGGTACTTATACTTATTTTACTAACGGGTTGTCACAGAATGCGGAATTATTTTTTTATTTTTATTGTGATTATTTGATTTAAAAATTTACATTTTTATTTTATCTTTTTCTAAAAAAATAATTTCAAATTTTTTATGTATTTTTAATTTTTAAAAAATTTCTGAATGTCAATTTTTTTGCCACAATTTATTTGTTAAAAAAAATGATTAAATATCTTCTAAATTAATTTTCATAAATTCTACTTCAAAATAAATTAGCAAAATTTATAACTATAAAAAAAATTAATGAAATTGCGCCTTTAATTAAAAAAAAAAAATTTTTTTTCTATATTTTTGATGTATAAATTAAAAGTAAAATTTTATTAACGCTCTCAGTAAAAAAGCTCTTTTTCCATTTTAAATAAAAAATTTTTTGTTAACAAAAAAAAATATTTAGCTTATTTTCAAAGAAAGTTTAATCTTCAGTAAGATTAACGACGCTTGTTCAAATATTAAAAAAAAATAGTTTTATGAGTTTTATCTTCCTTTCGCAAATAAAAAAAAATGAGCAGAGAGCGTTTCTACAGAGAAAGTTGGAGCATTAAATTTAAATATTAATATATAATGATAAAATTTCTAGGTATCATCAAAATGACATTGACATAGTGCGGTGTAAGCATGGAAATTTGAATTTAGTAAGAAAAAGTCAACATAATAATACTGAGGAGTATATTCCGTCCAATAATCAGCATTATGACTCGGAATTTATGGGCACGTTGCCTAAAAGAAGAATCGACCCAAAGTGGTGTGATCCAACAAGCATCCAGTCGATTGTTCAGCAGTATAATCAACACGAGCCCGGTGAAATAGACTCGAATTATCCGCAGAATGTTAAAATTATTCACAAGCCCACCTGTGAATTGATGAAGCATCATCGTCAGCAATTAAAACGTCTTGATGATTTTAATTCAAAGCCTACGTCAAGTGAACATCAAGATCAAGGATACGCGTCTGAGCGATCACCTGAAGATGAACATCCGCCTCTATTAGCAATTAATCCAGGTAGATTATGCATACGCTCATCGGATCATTTATTTTATCGATAATCCCAATTAATCTTTCATTTTTTACAGTTTGTTTCTTATCATTTATTATTTTCATTAAAAATAATAATAATAAATTTTAAAAATCATGACCATGACAAAAGTTAGAATGCATTATTGATCGTTGGTCCGCGCAACTTCAAACTAGGCCACTAGTTTGTGCGTCACTCTGCGCAGTTATTTAATATTATTCTTGATAAATGTATATTCTTTTTTAGATAAGATTATTTTAATTGATTTTATGATAGTGAATATTCTTCTTCTGCGTATGCAATTGATAAGTACTAAAAAAATTTTTTCTCCCCTCCGTGCGGAAAGCGTCAATTTTCTGCTCGCTGCGCTAAACGAAAATGCCGCTTTCCGCCTCCGTCGAGGAGAAAAATAGTATTCTCACCACGAGCAGGAAATAAGAAAGCCTCAGATCACATGTTTGTCGACCTCGGCTTCGCCTCAGTCAACAATTACATGTAATCTGAGACATTTCTTATTTTCCTGCCCCAGGTAAGAAAAATACTATTTTTTTTTTTTTTTTTAGAATTTATTTCACTACAAATTAATCATATGATTCAATTTATAAAATAATTTTATAAATTTTTAGAATGATGAAAATGCATTTTATACATAAATAATATTACAAATAATCTTATAAAAAAATATTTCTTAGTAAAAGCCCCTATTATTGAAGCCCTATTTAATTTTATTATTTCATTATTAAAATCTGTTAATAATCACAATTATTGATATTTCATGACAATTTTACATATTTTTAAAATTAAAAAATAGTAAAATTTTATTCCAAGGTATAAACTATTTACCGCAAAAAAATTTCATTTTTTTCAAGTACGCCAAAACTGCTCATACGTTTGTAATTTTTTAACAATATTGTTAAGAAAGACCTTATTTTCAAATCCAGATTTCTCAATGTTTTTTTTATGTAATTGCATTGCTTAAAATTATTTTAGATTATTTATAGTTTAAATAACCATATAATCATTTATTTATACTTTATCGAGTTAAAATTAATTTTAAAATAGCGGATGTCAATGATGGGGACACAAAAATTAACTTGCGTCAACTAACGACATAGGCCATAATGTAAGGTAACCTTACCCCCCTCAACATACATATCAACGTATTAATGTTTACATACTGTCATGTGATTTTATAAGAATCAAAGTATTTGAGATTAAAAAAAATTGCTAAAAAAAACCTGGTAAAAAATATAGAAAAGCTAGGTCTTAAACGAATTTTAAAATAATAAAAATTATTGATAGTTTTGCATTAGTTAGTAAAAATGATTATTGTTAATACAAATTTAACTGTAATAAAAAACCTGTCAATCATAGGGTCAATGGTATGTCAATAATCGGCTCTTTGAATTTTTTGCGCTGTCAATAATATATACATTCGACCTGTGGGTTTTAAGTTTATATAGTAATTATTAAATTTATTGCTATTAAAGTTAATTAATTAAATTATATAAGTAAAAACAATGATTAAGGTGTCCTATAAAAAAAAAGTTGATAATATTGATTTGAAACACGATAAAAAAATTCAAATATTCATGATCACTCTTATAGTGTCAATGGGGGGTTTTAGCTTAATTAAATTTATAAAATAATTTTCTAAAGAATAATTTTATAAATGATGATTTTTTTTTTATACATAAATAATATTATAAAGAATTTCATAAAAAAATATTTCTGTTGTGAAGTATTTATTTTATTTTATTTTATTAAAAAAAATATTCAAATTTTTTTATGAATAAAAAATAGTAAATATTTGGATAATTTTATAAAGTAAAAAAAATAATAATTTTGCTTGATTGTTTATAATTTATAACAATAGCAAACAGATTTAATTTAAAATACAAGAGCATGGATGAGAATTCGGAAATCCGGTTAGAGGCGAGTCTAATATATAGTAAAGTATATCCGGTAGTGATTGTCGTTGGCTCACCTTTTTGAAACTTACAATTCAGGTCACTTCTTGATTTATTTTTTTTTTGCACTATCTCAAAGTTTAAATTGCAAAAACATTTTATACTTGTCTATTTTTTTTAAAATGAAATAAATGAGAATAGAACTCTTTGTTCACTTTTTATGAGGAGTTTAGTTGTATTTTATATTTTAAAGGATATAAGATAAGGATATTGAAGTTTATTGATTTAATTTTGTGATTGCAGAGAACACATTTCAGGTGACCTTACAGAAAAGTAGCCGTGGTCTTGGATTGAGTGTTTCCGGCGGTGGAAAATCAGGCCCGGTTAGAGTTAAAAGACTTTTTCCCCAACAGCCAGCGGCGCTTTCCAATAAACTCGAGCCTGGTGATATTCTTTTAGCGGTTAATGGAATTCCACTTACTGGTCTAACTAATTATGTAAGTAATGAATTAGTTAGCTTTTTTAAATTAATTAACTACTTACTTCCAGTAAATGTCTATTTTATATTCTGTAATTTTTATTACATTTAATATTAATTTTTATCAGAGTGAAATTAAGATATTTTTTTTCTCATTGCTAATCTATTCTATTAAAAGAATAAGTAAAATTTTGTTTCCAGAGTAGTCATATGGTAAAATCGGTTTTTTTTTTAGTGAAATTTAGTGTCATTGCAAAGGTCTTGAAAAAACATAATTTTTCTTTTTAAATAAAATTAATAATTTTTACTGAAAAAAAATTTTTTTTTCCAAAATAAAATTTTTTATTATCATTATTTTTTTTAAAGATATGCAATTAATGAAAATAATCCTTCATAATTTCCTCTTAAGTAATGTATATCAGTCATGATAACATAATTTTTTAATTACAAATATTTTTATATAAAATGAGTTTATTGTTTTTGTACTCAACGAAGTAAAGATAAAAAGTTTTATTATAAAATTAAATTTATAACAAAGATTTTAGAAAGAAAAATTATAGAAAATTAAATTTGCTACAAAGAAAGACTTTGCTTTGAAACGTAACTCAGATAAATTCAAACCAATAGAAGTAACGAAGTACTGATCGATTTATTGTAAATATAAGTTACTTTTTTTTTTGTTTGCCTTATAAATTAAATGAAAATATTTTTCTTATTCAAATTGAATTTTTCAATTAAATTCATGTTAATATTTATATTTCTTAAGTGAAAATTTGAATTTATTCACTGAAGCTATTAATTGCAAATTAAAAATTTTCAATTTATTTTATAATTTACAATGATAAAATAGTTTCATGATTTAATACTGTTTGTTTTTATAATTAAAATATTAATGCGCATTTGTAAGCTGGTAAAGTAAACTCATGTAATTTAATTACAATAAATTATAAAATTTTATAATTTCTGCTTTAAATTATACGGTACGACCATTCATTAATGGTCTGTAATTCACTAAATAAGATTAAAATGAATTATTAAAAAAGAGAGTGCAATTTATGTTAGTACTTATTTTTTTAAATTATAAATTAAAAAAAAAATTTATTTTTTCAAATTTATTTTTATAAAAAAATTGACAGAAGCTTCTTAGAAAAAAAAAAAATTCTCATGAATAAATATGAAATTTATTTTAAAAAAATGATCGAAATATGTAATTTTTTAAAAGCGAATCTAAACTTTGAATTATTAAGTGAATAATTAAAATTTTAAATCATAATAATTTATTCAACAGGAAGCACTGGAAGTACTGCGTACAACTTCAAGTACTGTTGAATTATTAGTATGTCGATTACCTGGTGAACCTAGTATTACACCACCAAGAGCACCACCAACTCCACCAACACGCCGAGAAGCTTCATTGCCATCACGTTTTCTCAAACCCGTACCTCCTCTTAATATCGAGCCATGTGGTGTAAGTATAAAATTTATACTTATCAACAACTGAAAATTCATATAATTATTCTACTTTAATTATTAAATACTACGCTCCGATGGGCGCTTTATAGAATTGTATTTTTAGATCTAAACTTGAAGTTTAATTAGAGTATTGTTTTGACGCACAGATTCTCAATTCTATCGAATTGGCATGCACCTTCTATCCATATAATTATTCTAGCTAATATTTATTGTAACTTTCAATGTGCAATCATTATAACATTCCCGTGTCTTTATTACAAAAATTAATAATAATTGATATGAAAAAAAAAAAATTTGGAATGAGTATTGAAAGTTTCAGTTAAAGAAATTGCAGGTCTCATAGGTGAAGAAATCTGTCTAGTATATAAACATAACCAATAGAATTAAAAAATTTATTTTAAACTAATGACAATCAAATAGAATAAATTTAGTTACAATAAAAATTCATTATTTCTAAGTCAAAAAAATATATGTAAGTATAGAGTTTATAAGTATAAAAAAATCATTAAGCCAAAGTTTTCTTATTCATAATCCGTAAATCTCGGCAGTCGCATGGTGACTGCAGATTGCTAGTTTATATCATGCTTAAATTGCAGTCATCTGAGCCTAGATAATTGCCAATTAAAACAGTAACTAAATTAGTTAATTAAAAATTTTCTTATGACTTGACACGATTGAGTTAACTTGAAAATAAATGAAATAAAATTATTAACAGGAATTCGATATTGAAATGACGAAAGTAGCTGGCAGCTTGGGATTTACCTTGAGAAAGGTCGACAGCAGTGCTCTAGGTCATTATGTAAGAGCATTGGTACGTGAACCGGCATTGAGTGACGGGCGTATTCAACCAGGTGATAAAATAGTTACGGTGGATGGTGTACCACTGTCTCCAATGAGCCATGAAGAAGCTGTTGCATTATTACGTCAGTGTGGTCCTAGAGTTAAATTACGTCTTTACCGCGATTTAACTCAAACTCCAGTATCGGCACTATCACCAACTGAACCTGACCATCCTTTACGTCCACCACGAACTAGCCTCAGGTAAATCGATTCATTTATTAATTACCGACATTCATTTGATTTCTATTTAGTCTGTACTTACAAAGAATTATTTATTGACTTTAAGAATTTTAATTCTTAATGAGTAATTATGTTGTTACCGGAAATTTGGAATTTTATAGTCAATTTACTATAAGTATTTAAGTTGCATTTAAAAATACTCTCTAGATACATAATTAAGAAATGACCTTGTATCTTGTGAAATATTGACATTTTTAAAGATATGAGCTCATTTCGATGTTATACTCATCGAGACCTTTTATTAGAGTACCCACATCAATTTTTCATATATTTTATATATTTATTATTATATATATAATATACGATATATATTATATATATAATATATTATATAATATATAATATATATATATATTATATATTATATAATATATTATATATATAATATATATCGTATATTATATATATAATAATAAATATATAAAATATATGAAAAATTGATGTGGGTACTCAAATGAAAGGTCTCGATGAGTGTAATGTCGGGGTGAGCTTATATCTTCAAACATATTATTAGTTGACAAGATACAATGTCATTTCTTAATTATTGACATTTTTTAAGATATAAGCTCATCCCGATGTTACACT